GATTGCTTCATAGCTGCAATTTTGCCAAAGTCTCTTATTTAAAAAAGAGTTTGGTTTCAGTCAATACCAAAACCACATGAGGCTAGGGATAAGATTCAATTCACGCCAATTAATCATATAGATATTTGGCCAGTAGAGTGTGATATAGAAAATGATTGTAAGGACAACGTTTTTAGCCTTGAATCTGTTAAAGTTGAGGAAGAGAAAATCGAAAATGAGAATATCAAATTTGATGTAAACTGGAGTTATGAAACAGGTAAGATACACATTTTGTGATATTATTAAATTAAGGCACAATTTTACATAATGGCAAGTGGTTACTGTAGCCCATGGACACAAAATAAAGAGATTAGTACTGATTTGCCTTTGCCTAAATTCAAAGTGCAAGTAAAAAGCACTCATGGAGAAAGAAAATAACAAAATAAAAATAATTATTTAAAAGATAACCATACATCGACATCATAATGAGCTTTGTTAGTCATTTTCTTTGACTTATGCGTAAATATTTTTATAAATATTTTGATGTTGTATAACTGCAACCAGTATGTATGTACCCTAAGATGTATTCACTTCATAGGAATTAATGTTATACTTACAACTGGTAAGCTACCACCTCATCATTCTCTAAACCATTTCCCATTATCTGGGGTCGGCGCAGTAAATCTTCTTGTTCCATTCCTCTCTATCAGCCGTCATTTCCATACTTACTCCTTTCATTCTCATATCACTCTTCACACAATCGATCCATCTTTTATTCGGCCTTCCTCTGCCCGTGTGTCCCTCCACGTTCATATTCAACACTCGTTTTGTGACATGACTTTCATCCCTCCGCATCACATGGTAAGCTACCACCTATCTTTGCCAATTTCTTAACCTAGATGGGCTCCTCCATCCTCCTGTTATATTTCTATTGTCAAATAGCAGTGCGTGCACTGCTGTGTGCCAGTCTGAAGAGTGTAGAGTCAGTATAATCACAGGCTGTGGGACATTGCATCTCATTTGTCAGAGGTAGGCTTGTGAAAAAAAACTCGATTATTTATTTAATCAATTTTTAAAGCGATTTTACTCTAACAGTTTTCGATTTTTTGCAGCAGAGAGTTAATGCTTGAAACATTCCCAACTTATACTTTATTGCAATCATTTTGTTCAAATTTTATGCAAAGCTGTAAATATTAATCTCCCATACAATATTGTTGAAGGCGAAGGTTTTCAAAACTGATAAAGTATATATTTTTTTGTTGGGGTTAGGGGTTTTTGGTGGTTTCTTTGGTTGTGTGGGATGTAGTTTTGTGTTTTTTAGGTGTAAAAATAATATGTTTATGGAGGAAGGAAATTGGACGGGCTAAAGCCACAGATCAGGACAGTAACAAGTGCTATCACAGGACATGGCTCTTTTAACAAACATTTGTTCACCATAGGTGTTATTGACAGCCTCCTGTGCAGGGCATGCATGGGAGAGGACGAAACCGCGTCTCACGTGTTGCTGACATGTCCAGAAGTCGCTTCAACAGGGCTAAACATCTCGGCACGCCGGGATCGCTCCCCGAAGTTGCTTGCAACATTAAGGGACTGCTGAGCTTCTTCGGGGAGATATCATGTCTCGAATAAGCATATTATTCCTGCCCACACGCAAAACACGTGCTTAGACGTGGAGTTGCGGAAAACAGCCCGTCGTAAACTAAACTAAACTAAACTACTTGCACCCTTGTACAAAATACCATGTCGGAAAACAGTGACAGACATAATAGACAGAAAATATGAAGGGACAGAAAAAGGCTACAGAAATGGCGTTCATTAAACGATATATGTTTCACAATAGATGAGTGGGAAGACTTGCAGATGAGTAGCTTTTTTGGTGTAACTATCCACTTTGTTGAAAATTTTAAAGTACATAATTGCATTCAGCATTGCATGCGAATCTCTTACTGAAAACCACACAGGGCATTATTTAGCTAGTATTTTAAGACAAGTTTGGAATGAATGGGAAATAAGTGAGGATAGAGTTGTTAGTGTCACTACAGATAATAGTGTCAATATTGTTAAAACTAGAAATTGCATATGGAAGAGGAAAATATACAAGATGCATAGTAGTACCGTCTTTACCATAAGGGCACACGGGGCTCCCATGATGAAAGGCATCGGCCTTATTCGCTTATGCTATACAACCTTTTTTCTATTTTAGGTAAATATAACCTGACAAAAAAATTATGGAGTAAATGAGGGTGTTGTTAGTGACTTGACGTTGTTGGCAACCCTGAGCCACACATTGCCAGAAAAAGTGGTATTACAGATTTCCTAGGTAGGAAATATGTAGTTCCGCATTTCGCCGCCATCTAAACGTTTTTGTCGGGCTGTACAGTCATCTTACTTATAGTCTGGACTTTTTTTCGGCAATCTACGTATTTATAATCTACGAGATAAAAATATAATTTCGTACTGCTTAATAAAAATAACATTTCAAATTAATTAATTTGAAATGTTATTTTTAGATTTAACGGCAAATGATTTATTTAATATGATAATTTTCAACCACAAATATTAGATTTTATAGAAAATAATTGTTACGATCCTTATTTTTAGATAAGTGAAGCCTAAATTTTAATGTAAGAAATAAAAAGAATTATAGAATATTTTCCTTTTTTTGCAAAGACGTTTAAGTTAGTATATATATTGAAATCTCTGCTTCTTTGAAAGAAAGTTTAGGTAAGAAACATTGAAGTTTACATTTTCCTAAGAAATTATCGTCCCCGCTATGAAATCTGTCAAATATTTTACCTCATTGTAAAGTGGTGCCGCCATGGTGGCAAAAAAAGTCGCTCATTGATGACACATTATTTGATTTTTACCAATTAACTGTAATAAATATAAGATCATAACAGAAACATGTCTTTGTCATTCACTTGTTTTTACTTTCCAACAGGGCCCCAAATACTTGTGTGCCCAAGGGCTCAGGTATGGCCTAAGACGGGGTTGTGCATAGCCCATATGTTGAACCTGGTCATGGAAAATTCGATTACTGCAATAGATTTAAAAAGCTTTCTAGAAAAAGTTCGTAGAATTGTGACTTGATTTCATAAAAGTGGTGTAGGTGCTGAAGAGTTGAGGAAAGCTCAGAAAGATTAAAATATTGCGGAAGAAAAAATAAAGTGTTTGATAGGTGATATTTTCACTCGATGGAATTCTCAACTACACATGATTGAAATATTTGTCATGATGAGTACTACTATCGGATCCATTTTAGTAAACCACCCTAATACATCACCGATGCTTCAAGCAAACGAAATAATATAATTGAAAGAGTTAATAAAAATACTAAAACCCTTTGAAAAAGTTAGCCATGTAATGAGTAGTGAGAAATACGTCAGTGGAAATAAGGTTATACCGATGATGAAACGTCCGCAAGAATATTTAAAAACAGTAAATCCAGTTCATGAACTGGCTATTGATTTGAAAAATTCATTGTTGAATGAAATAAGAAAGCGCTTCAAAAATATACAAAAAGTACTCCTTTTTCCAATGTCTACTTTTCTAGACCCGCGTCTAAAAAATCATTTGAACGATTGATTAGCTTTGGCAAAAACGATCAGCTATATCAAAAGATATCTAATTAAGGATTTGCTGGAGAAAAGGGAAGTTGCGGAGCCGTTGTCTTCAGTTGCCTACATATTTATCATTATCTTGATGCTTTAAAAAAGTAGTCCCGCTGAGTTTCTTGCTGGTTCTTCGGTAGCAAGCAAGCAGTGGTATTGCTTAAATGACTTATTAAGTATTATTGTAATCTATATTGAATAAAAAATATTCTATTTTATTCTATTCTACTAGCTGCGACAGATGGCGTTATATCATCCACGACTTTTCTGCCACTAGGGTGGCGTCGTAGTGATGGTTGTAACATCTGGCTGGCTCACCAAGAGTTAAAAGCTGCTTCACATATCAGATCCGAAGAGTTCAGAGTACCGTCGCGCGCTGCGTGACGATTGAGACGCTAAATGAATAATCCGCGAATATAAATTGAAAACTGGCGCTAAACTTCAAGTTTCGTCCCTAAACATACAAAGTGTTATAGTACAAGTAATATGTAACATAATGATATTTACAACTGTGTGAAGTGCTCAGTTTATTTGTGTTAAAATCAAAATAACTTATGTGTCTGTGCGGTACTCTTCAATTATTATCAAGTTATAAAGTCATAAGTTGAACTTTGGACCTATTAACACCTCGTACAAACATAGAGACGCATTCCAATAAGTGATCAACCATACTGTGTATTTCGTCGCTCAGCTAGGACAACAGCTAGCGTAGCGGTAGCAGAGTTACGGATAATCTCAAACATTGGCGATTATATCCATATCTGTAGTTCGAACCCTGGCGCCACAAGTTTGTTTTAATTTAATTTATTTTCTTTTTTATAATTGAACTTTTCTTTTTGTCTGTGTTGGGAGAAGGAAAATAAAAACATTTGTTATTACTATTTTAGAAGGAAAATAAAAACCTTTTTTTTTTTTGTAAATTATTATTTTGTAATCCGAAAGAAGTCAAAAAAGTACAAAATGATCTGCGGGGGTTGCTCTCTATTATTGAACACAGATTGTTCGTTACATTGCCACACTTGTGATATCAACTATCACTGAAATAATACTAGTTTTTACGGAATTTATCGCGTATATTTAACTTTTTAAATACCCGACGTTTCGAATGCTTTACAGCACTCATGGTCACGGGCGGGACTGAGATGTTCAATGTCCATATGTCATAGTTAACCCCGATAAATTCCGTAAAAACTAGTATTATTTCAATGTGTAGTGTTCGCGTAAATATAAGAAATCATTATCAACTATCACTATGAATGCCTAAATATAAACAAGGAGCAGTTTGTATCGCTTTCGAAGGAATTTCGTTTATCTTGGACTTGCCCTGCATTTGTGAATGTAACAAGATGTGTAAAAACTAACTTAAGCACACCTGTACGTCACAATCAGGTACCATCTATGGAACAGTCTATGGACCTATTGTGCGAAATTCTGAACAAAAGTGAGGCGCACATACCGTCAGATTCGGTCTCCATCGAGAAATTTAATGAACTACTTAATACGATCTATTTGTGGCGTAACGACATGAAATCTAACATAATGAATATTAGAGACGAAATTAAGAATGATATGAACTCTAACTTTATGAGTATTAGGGAAGAAATTAAAAATACCTTAAGTGACGTCCAATCTGAAATTAAGTCTCTCCGAGAGGAGCATGCCACCCTGAGACAAAATGTTTCTAATATAAACATTGAATTATCGTCCTTTCAAAACTCCATTCAATTTCAATCTGACGAACATGGTACTTTGAAACAAAGAGTCGATGAAATCGCACGTGTTGCTAGTGAACAGACCACATCAGCAACTGCAAGACAGAAGACAGAATCGACTCCCTGGAACAACAAGCCAGACAGACAAATGTTGAAATCTGTAACGTACCGGAGCATAGAAATGAAAACCTTATAGGTATCATCGCAGCCAAATCCATTGAAACAGCGATCCGCTTCCCCATTTCAAAGGTAGACATAGTGTCGATACATCGGGTTCCTCATGTACACAGCACAAATGATAGACCTAAAAACGTCATGCTAAATTCAGCACACATACAGAGGGACAATATAATTGCAGCATATCGTAAAGCAAAATCACTGTGGTCTGATCAGCTCGGCATTCAGGGCCAATCTACCACTATATATTTGAATGAACACCTTACACTACAGAAGAAACTGTTATTTCGTAAACCTCCCGAGGTTGCAAAGGAACTTCATTACAAGTATTGCTGGATCAAAAACAGCCATTCTTGTTAGAGAGAAAGACGACAGTCCAGCTCTGGTCATCTGAGGAGAAGACGACCTCAAAAAACTTCCAATCACTAAAAAGAAGTGACTGTACTAGTTCGATAAGTCTAGTTGTATTTATATTTATAACGTTTTATTACCTTTTTATGTATTTGATTGATTTACTCATCTGCACTGACTGCAGTTTTCTCAATGCTAGCTTAAAAGAACAAATGAGCGACTTACCCGTCTGTCTGAGCAATCAGGAATATTTCTCACTATTTTTCAATTTTAAAATTATAACACAAATCTTATTCTCATCAGATACTAACCATTACAATCTGGCTTTCTATTGTACAATAAGGCACAAATTTATGCTAAAAATAGCTCGTGTTCAAACTCAACACTATCTTAGCAAAACGAACATAATACAATGCTCTTTTTTAAAATGAATAACACGACTCAAACAAATCATCTTAGTATTTAATATCAAAATTGTAGAGGTATAAGGACCAAATTAAACACACTTTACATGAATATCTTATCTAATAATTATGATGTTATTGTACTCACTGAGACCTGGCTGCTTCCGGACATTGGCAAAGGCGAATTTATAGATCAGAGGTACGTGGTTTACAAATGTGACAGAGACCGCTTAGCTACCAACAAACAGGATGGTGGTGGTGTTCTGGTGGCGGTGCTGTGTGGACTGAAACCTGCTATATTTAACACCTCAAACCCGGATAAATCTCTGCACTCTAAGCATCTTGAATGTTTACTGGTCGAAATTCCTAGTACAAGCCAAATTAGGAAACATGTAATTAGTGCAGCGTATATTCCGCCTCGCAGCTCCCCGGATATATATGAAAAACACTTTGACCTGTTACTTGATTGCCTTAATGACCCTCTTATTGATAGCTTTTATGTGATTGGTGATTATAATATTCCTGATATGACATGGGTTCCATCATCATCCTCCACTTCTGATTATTGTAACCAACCTTTACCGTTGAATGGATCTGGATCCGCCCTATACACATTCCTTATTGTTTAATTTTATGGCATTTCTAAATGCATCGCAGTATAATGGAATCTTTAATTCTAATGATAAACTACTGGACCTTTTCATCTCTAACACCTCACCTACTATTAGAGCCCCAACTGATCCACTACTTCCTCCTGATTCCCATCATCCACCTTTCATTGCGATTACTGATATGCATCGGACGTATAAACTAATGAAAAGGCGCCCTCTAACCAAGTATAACTTCCGTAAAGCAGATTTTGACCTCATTAATTCCAAGCTTGAAAAAACAAATTGGACAGAACTACTGCAAACGCTTCCATCTGAAGCCTGCATTGAAACCTTTTATATGACCATAAATGACATCATAAAATAACATGCACCACGTTCTAGTTCTCGCCCCGGAGGATTTCCTGTCTGGTTTTCACGTCCTCTGATTAAAACATTTAAATGTAAAGAAAAAGGACTAAGTGAAAGAAATATAAAAACCCAAGTGACTACATACAATTTTCCCAATACAGAAATACATTTAAGATCCAATGCAAACAATGCTATTGTAAGTACCTATATGAACACTGCAGAAGATATTATAACTAAAAATATAAAACACTTTGATGAGTTTCGAGTCGCATAACTGAGACTAAAATTCCGTCCACTTTGCATTACCATAACCTTAAATCCAGCGACCCCGAGACGGTATGTAATATGTTCTCTGACTTCTTTCAATCGGTTTTTGAGCCCTCTCCCTCTTCTCTTTCGCATTGGCAGCTTCCATCTTGTACCTCAAGTCACGATATTTTAATTTCTAATATTTACTTAAACGAAACTGAAATTCTAAATGAACTCAAAAATTTAGACACTTCCAAGGGTCCTGGTCCAGATGGCCTTCCTCCACCCTTTTTCGAACAAACTGTTGAAAATATTTATAAGCCTATGCACATTATCTATAATAAGTGTTTGTCAGAGGGTGTTTTTCCTAGGAGGTGGAAACATGCAAATATAACTCCAGTTCATAAAAGTGGGTCAAAACATGATGTTGAACAGTATCGCCCCATCTCTATTCTCTCCGTCTTGTCGAAAGTTCTCGAAAAATTAGTCCACAACCAAATTTACCCGATTCTACACAGGGCTATAATTGAAGAACATGGTTTCGTTAAACATAGATCTACTAGTAATCTATTTACCTTTGCGAATAATTTATTTGCAAGAGTTGATGACGGCTTTCAAGTAGATGCTGTATATACAGGTTTTAAGAAAGCTTTCGACAAGGTGGATCATGAGATTATTCTTAACAAGATTGCATTCAACGGTATTCGTGGTAATTTGCTCCTCTGGTTTGCATCTTATATTCAAAACCGTTCCCAAAAAGTTGTAGTAAATGGATATCAGTCAAGGGACGTTTTGGTTACATCGGGCGTTCCTCAAGGATCCATTCTTGGACCATTGTTATTTATTATTTTTGTTAATGATATAGACAAATGTTTTCTTAACTCCAATTTCCTATTATATGCCGACGACATGAGAGCCTACAAAACTATTAAAAATATAGAAGACTGTATAACTTTCCAAAGCGACCTTGACATATTGACAACATATTGCAACATTAATAAATTACAATTGAGCATTCCAAAATGTCACTATAGAAATTTTACAAAAAAGAAAAATATTGTCCATTTTAATTACATCCTCTGTAAAAAGTCCTTGGCCAAAGTGACAGACGTAAGGGATCTGGGGATTCAGTTGGACTCTAAGCTACAACTAAGCATTCATATTGATAAAATAGTCAAATAAGCTTTTAAAATGTACAGATTTATTATGAGATCTTCTACTGACTTCAAACAAACAACCACATACTTATACCTCTATAAAACTCTTGTTCTTTCCCAGCTTGAATATGCTGTACCTATATGGAATCCCTACTATAAAGTATACAAACAAGCTATTGAGAAAGTCCAAAATAAGTTTTTGCGTGCCATGTACTATAGATGCCATAAATCTTGTATCCCATTGCTGAGACAGTTTGGTGTTTTGTCGCTTGAATGTAGACGTAAATATCTTAAAGCTATAACATTGTATAAAATAGTAAACAACAAATTTAGCAGTACTGAGTTAGTTTCCAGTTTAAATTTCGTAGTTCCTAGAAGTGCTCATATACGCGCTGTGCGCACTCGTAACTTGTTCGCCGTCAGTACATGTCGTACAAATACCGGCTTGCGCGCGCCAGTTTTTTTTTTTATAGGATAGGGTGACAAACGAGCACACAGTCCACCTGATGGTAAGTGGTTGCTGCGGCCCATAGACATCTACATCTATCTTCCATTACAAATCAAAATGCAGATGCGTTGTCACCCGTGAGGACTGAGATGGAATGCCTCATTTCCAGTAAAAAGGGTCTCCAGTTCTCTACACTCACCATACGAAATACAGCAGCATTAAGCTACTATTTCACGCTGGTATTCTGTGAGAGCGTGGTCCTTCCCCGGTCGAGCCGACTCATTCGTGCTACAACTATACTACCAATATAATTGCAGCATGGCTCTACCACGTATAGCCTAGTTATAGTATAGTTCGCCGTATGATGCATTCCTTTAACGAGTTTTTCAATGATGGTAACATATCTTGAAGTTGTTTGTTTACACCGAATATTCTTGCTTTTAAAAGATCTAAATTTGAAAAACCGGCCAAGAGCGTGTCGGCCACGCTCAGAATGATTTTCCTAGAAAGTCCTTATAAAGTTCTACTTTTCATATTTTTTTCATATTTTCTAAACTTATGGTTCAAAAGTTAGAGGGGGGAGACACATTGTTTTTTACTTTTGGAGCGATTATTTCCGAAATTATTGATGTTTACGCCGGATAGGTCGTCTTATCGAGCGGGGTGAAGCGACGACTACCAGAGGTGCGGGAGGGGGAGGCTAGCGGCAGACTACGGCAGTCAGGCAGAATCCCTTTGGCATTGAGGCGAGCAGGATGGTCTGCGCACACGCAGACGATTGCCCGGTTGGGCTCTCAAGATTAATATAATTGTGATTCGAAGGAACGATCTTGAGTTATCTTATATTAGTTAGTGAATTGATAACTCCTCTGGTCTGCCCGTCGAGCTGTTCCACTGTGGGCCCTGGGGCGGTCGACTATGGTCAGGGTAGTCAGAGGCAGTAACAATTGACATTATCAAAAAATGATTTTAGTAAACCCCTATTCATTTTTAAATGCCTTTCCAACAATATATCATACGTTAGGGTTGAAATTAAAAAAAAATCACTTCCCACTTTACACATAGGGGGGCTACCCTAATAAAACATTTTTTTTCCAATTTTTATTTTACCACTTTGTCGGCGTGATTGATACACATATTGGTACCAAATTTCAGCTTTCTAGTGCTAACGGTCACAGAGATTAAGCGAGGACGGACAGACGGACAGACAGACATGGCGAAACCATAAGGGTTCCTAGTTGACTACAGAACCCTAAAAACTAAAAATGTAAAAATAGTATTATGTTGGCTCTTTGTTTTTTAGTTATTAAGTTTTTATTCAGCGTCCGCGACAATTTAATTAACATTGTAAGTAATATGTGGATAGCGTTGTGTGCTACATTATTATGAATACATCATGTTATTGTATTTTAGATATTACTGTATTTTGTAGCTGTTTGCTGTTCCTTAATAAATAAAATAAAAAAAATAAGACGCCGTGATGTTGGAGTTGGATTTATATATCGCAGCGCCATTGGAAGATTTAACAATGGACCCCTACATGTGTGGGAATCGTATGCAGGAGTGTATCCAAAACTCTAGGAATTGGCCTGCAAGCACCTGGTCATTCCATCTTCATCAGCTCTCGCAGAAAGGCATTTCTCAAGCGGGAAATATTGTTAGAAAAAGTAGGAGTCGTATTTTAGGGAAAAGAATATCACAGTTGTTATTTTACATTCTCTACCTGTGCTGATTTTCTTTTAATTTCTACTTTTTCCAAATCAGTTTTTAATAATAAAAAGAAAGTGTCTCAATTTACAAATAATCGCCTTTTTTACAAAATAGGCTATTTTTCTTAAAAAAATCGATTAAATGAAAATCGATTTAAAGAGTTAGATGAAAAAATCGATGCTGTAAAAATAGTTTTTGATGCCTTTCTTCACATGCATAGTTAGAGGTGACAGCGCATTGTAGCCTTTTATGTTTGAAGTTAACACGTAAGACTACTGTACCCACTTACCTTCAGGTTGATCAGCTACATACCATAAGGTGGACTGCTAGTTTGTTTGTTTCTTCATACTAAAAAATATATAGAGAAAAGGTGCTCAAGGTATCCTTGTACTGGCAAGCACTCACCTACTAAAACAAGTTGTGGCAGAACACTCACTAAATGAGGTGAATGAATCATCATCGTCATTACAGCCCTTCACAAGTCCACTGCTGAACATAGGCCTCCCCCAAGGTATGCCACAAAGCATGGTCCTGAGCCACCTGCATCCATCGACTTCCTGCTTGTCTTACCAGGTCGTCACTCGTCAACATTACGTCACTTTAGGAGAACCTTTCTTCTCTATCGGTTGTCAGTTGTAATTAAAGGAAAGGAATTTTTAAACTGCTCTACATGTTACATGTACTATGACATTGACTGCACGAATGTTTCATCAAAGCGATATTACTTAATGACAACCGAAAGCAAGGAGAAGTGGAAATGTACTTTGTGCATTGAGAATAAGGGGAGTAAACGAAAAGGTAATTTAAGTGACACATCGTCAACTGAAGTCCCGATAATAAAAAACTCGATCAAAAACACACCTTTAAAACATGATAATACGAGTACGGGGGAATCAAGTAAAGTAAACATAACTGTTAGAAATAAACTTGAGAAAAGAAATTCATCTTTAAGGAATATATTGCATTCCGATTCGGATAGTAGTAATATAGAATTAATGCCGGAAACATCTCCAAGAAGTTTACCTGATACTACCCTACTAGAAAATTCACAAATTATTGATCTTAAAAATGAAATTGATCAATTAACTCTGCAACTGACCAGTGCACATAATGAAATTATGGAGTTAAACTTAGAAAATACAAATTTAAGAAAAACCCTAGAACAGTACCAGAAAAAAGAAAGTGTTTACAAGAAACTACTCGACAGTCCACTCAAAACACGGCGCTATTTCCAAATCCTGCAAAAAAAGAGCCCAAAGAATACAACTCTAGTATTAACCAAAAATCAATATTTAAAACAGTTCGTTCTGAAAAACCCAGTTCTGATCATACTGTCCAAGAGAAGAATGAATGTTCTTTAGAATCAGAAGAAAAAACTGTAACTATTAAAACTAAAGTCAAAGACAAAAATCAAATTCTTATTGTTGGTGACCAGCAAGCTTTAGGATGGCTTCAGCTTTAATGAAAATTCGGTCAAGGTATAAAAACCCCCGTCAATATAATGTTACGAGTTGAGGTTGTGACAATTTCCGATAAATATAAATTCTTTTTTTTTTGTGAATCGGTTGATTGGTTGGTTTTTCTTGGTCTAAATATCGGCATTTACATATCCTGACACTCCTACGGATGTTATTTTAAAAAAACCACTACAAAATGAAGTTCAAATGGGTGCAGATGATTGGATAATTATTTCAGTTGGCGCTAATGATGTTAACCCCTACAAAACATTTGCTGAACTATATTCTTTTCTAAAACATCATAGAGAACAGAAGATATTGATCACGAATATAATTCGCAATCCATATCTAAATGAACATAAATTCAATCGTTTGTTAAATTCACTTAGTTTATATTATTCAAATTGCTCATTTATTGATATACCACATATGGCAAATAATAATATGTTTAGCACAAAGTCTAAATTTAAAATGGTTTATGAAATTAATAAAAAAGTTGATTCAATAGACTATACAAAATTTTTTATACATAATAGAAATATATCACAGACAAATTGTAAAAATAAAAATGCTTATAAGCCAGGGACCATTCCATTCTACTTTGCCAAAATGAATCGCAACGTCAATATGAATAAAATAACAAAATCTGCTGAAAATAATAGTGTTATTAACAGTGTCTCAAATTATAGGAAAGGGACAATTCCGTTCTATTTTAAACCAATCAATAAAAAAATTAGCAATAACGTAACTACTAACAACCAGTTTTTTCACTAATAAGAACGTTCTGAATATTTTACATATCAATATACAAAGTTTAAAATCTAAATTAAGCAATATTGAAATTTTAACGAAAGAAAGAACATTAGATATACTTTGTTTTACGGAAACGTTTTTAAGAGAAGAAGAAAAGAACTTTTACAAGTTACATGGGTATAAAATGATGGCTATTTATGCAAGAAAATCGAAATCTAGAGGAGGTGTTTGCATTTACACAAGGAATAATATAGATTACTTAAATCAACTGTCAATTGATAATCATTTTGAAAGTTGTGGTATAATTATTAGTGAATTAAATCTGATTGTTGCATGTATATATAGAACCCCTAACAGCGATTTTAACATATTTATCGAAAAACTTGAAATTTTACTTGCTAAACTAATGGTACGTCTACGTAACAATAAAAATAGATTAATATTATTAGGAGATTTTAATATAGACACGTTAGCTAATAGCAAAAGAAGAAGTATCTTTATTACAACTCTAAGGAAATACAATCTACATCTTACTATACAAGAGCCAACTAGAATTACGGCTTATTCTGCAACTTGTATAGACAACATAATAACAAATGCTAATAAGTATGAATCTCAAGTACTTAATTTGGGATTATCAGACTATACTGCGCAATTAATTAGTATTGCATGTAGATATAACTTTGGGAAAAAACACTAGTTCATTTATAACAGAAATATAGACTCCAATCTACCGATATTTCTAAAGTACTTATCCCAAATTGGATTCAGAGAAGTTTATGATACGCCTGATGAGGCAACTGTTGATACCTTTAATAATATGACATCTTCAACTTGTACACAGTAATGCAATAAATGAATTATTATTATTATTATCAGTTCGTCGGCCCATTGCCACTTCAGCTTATTACACATAGCTTATAAAACATGCAGTATGTATAGTAATGAAAGTGGGTGGCTCGGGCCCATGAGCTGTGTGATGGACTGTAATGATCTAGTCGCTTCGAAAGAATATCAAATTTTATTTTATAGAGTCAGAATCTGTTTCATTCTAGATACTGCTGAAGAACAAGAATACTTGGAGATTGATGCTTTTGAAGATCGACATAAGGATTCGGAGGACGACCTGCCTCTAATTTCATTCAGTTCAAAGAGTAAAACAGATGACTTTAACATAGGTAAATGAATTTATTTTAAAATACCGTATTAAAAATAAAAATAAAAAAACACATTAGAAATTTATCTTACATCATGTAGTTGGAGATGTACTGTACATCTGTACATACAAAATTCTGATCTTTTAATTCACATGAACAAACCCAACGATTGTTTGTGACCCAAATGAACCAAAATGATTATATGTAGGCCATACAATTATGTTGTTTTAAGCAAGAACTGAATTCGCCGGTGGTGACCCAAGGTGTTATTAAGATAAAACGGGAAAAGGCTATAAACATGTCCTGAGTTATACCAAACTCAGTTATTGGGTTTTGTTGTCAAGAAATTTTCAGTAGCAGGCCGGAGCCAGGAAATTGGCAGTGTTTCAACTCCGTACCTCGGAAAGCGAAATATTTCAAAGTTTAATTACATTTAAGTATATGTGCCAATTTGTTCGATGACTTGTTGCCATTTTGTTTTTTTTTTGTTTTTTTTTATTTGATTATGAATCAAAATGCAGATGCGTTGTCACCCGCGAGGACTAAGATGGAATGCTTCGTTTCCAGTAAAAAGGGTCTCCGGTTTTTTACACTCACCATACGAAACAAAGCAGCATTAAGCTACTATTTTACGCTGGTATTCTGTGAAAGCGTGGTCCTTCCCCGGTCGAGCCGACACATTCGTAAAGTAAAGTAAAGTTACAGCCTATATACGTAACAATAAAAATAGATTAATATTATTAGGAGATTTTAATATAGACACGTTAGCTAATAGCAAAAGAAGAAGTATCTTTATTACAACTCTAAGGAAATACAATCTACATCTTACTATACAAGAGCCAACTAGAATTACGGCTTATTCTGCAACTTGTATAGACAACATAATAACAAATGCTAATAAGTATGAATCTCAAGTACATAATTTGGGATTATCAGACTATACTGCGCAATTAATTAGTATTGCATGTAGATATAACTTTGGGAAAAAACACTGGTTCATTTATAACAGAAATATAGATTCCAATCTACCGATATTTCTAAAGTACTTATCCCAAATTGGATTCAGAGAAGTTTATGAGGAAAAGGATGTAAACTTGGCATATAAATCATTCTTTAATACATTTAACTTGATCTTTACCCTTTTTTTTTGCATGGGGAAATGCCTACGCATACCCGCCTCGTGGGGGCAAGGACGGGTTATGTCGGACTCGCACCGACTAAAACCCCATGGTGTTCCACCTTTGTCGCATATTGGCAGGGCTACGGGAACGCTTTCGCACACATCCGCGGCCCTACTAGCGCCTGCCGCCCCATGGCAGCACCTCCTCGGGAGAGGAAAATTCCTCCCCGTTCTCCTTCCCAGGTAAGGCGCACCAGAACACATGGCGCGCCTTCCTCCACGGCCTCCAACTACGTCTGTGCAACAGACGCCCCCGCGTCCGATGCACAAAGGCCATGGGGCCAGGAAAAACGAGCACTTAGAAGTACTAGCCTTCCCGACCCCAGCGGCGGATCTGGTCTATGGCTCCGCCGCCAACCAAGATTCGGCTGCGGAGGGTAGGGAGAGCGGCGCCTCGCAATACCGACAATCCTTTCCCCCCGCAGCCCCACCACCACCGCATCAACGGTGCGGCCCCGTTTGAGTCGCGAAGGATAGGGCGAGTGGCGCATCGCCATACCAACACTCCTCTTCCTCCGCGACTCCACCTCGGCTGCAGCGGTAGAGGGTGCGCGAGTCCCCACTCGCTGCAGTCCACCAGCACACATCCGAAGTGGGCTCCCCAAGCCCACTCGGAGCGGCCACCTCAGGCCGGCCCCTCGCCGCCACGTGGCCACGTGGGTTCCTCTTTGTTCACCGTGGGAGTTGATCTTTACCCTAAGTTTTCCCCTTAAGAGGATTAAAATTATACAAAAAAATAAACTTAATTGGCTTACGGAAGGAATAAAAATATCCAGTAGAAACAAAAGGAAACTATATCTAAAAACGTTAAAAAAATAAATATTTTGCTAAGACAAGTAAATATAGGGAATGTTGTAGAATAATGAAAGCGGTAATAGTTGAATCGAAAAGGAGGTCTAATATAAAATATATACAATCTAGTGTTAATAAAACAAAAGCTACATGGAACTTGATAAAAAATAACACCAATTCAATAGAAAACACCATAAAAAATATAAAAGTTAATGGGTTGATAGTCAGTGAGCCAAATGAAATGGTAGAAATTTTTAATAACTTATTTCTTACACGTAATTATCAAAATTCTAATGTTGGATTTTATAAAACTTTAAATAACTCATTTAATTGCAACAGTATTTTCTTATCACCGATCAACATAAATGATGTCAGTAAAATAGTTAAACAAATAAAACCGAAAAAATCTTTTGGCTACGATCATATATCAATGTATTTAATAAAACAATCTTTAAAGCATATTTCAGAACCAATAATTTATATCATAAATCTAATGTTAGAAACGGGTACATTTCCAAATGACCTAAAAATTGCTCTTATAAAGCCTGTTTACAAAAAAGGACCGAAGCAAGACCCAAATAATTACAGACCCATAGCACTACTACCAAGCTTTTCCAAAATCTTTGAAAAGTTATTTATAATAAAGTCATGAATTTCATTAATGTAAATAAAACTTTAAATCCTAATCAATATGGATTTCAAAAAGGTAAAAACACGTCATTAGCTATATTTAAAATAATGAAACATATTTGGGATGACATAAACGAAAAAAATCCATGTTTTGCCCTTTTCTTAGATATGACAAAAGCATTTGATTGTGTTAATCATGAAATTTTACTGAAACAATTGGAAAACATTGGCATTCGCGGAATTGCTCTAAAATTATTTAAATCGTACCTTGAAGATCGATATCAGGCAACTATTTTGAATACGTATAATAGTAATACTACAACTATTGAAACAATTAAGTCAAAATTTAAAAATGTCAACATTGATGTACCTCAAGGAAGTATACTCGGTCC